ATAGACAGCCAAGATGTTCAAAACCAGCTGCAAACTATATTTTAGAGATTCGCTTGAAACTTTCTAGTGTAAAGTAATTATCGCTTCAAAACTCAACTCCCGAGCCTCTCTCCAAATCCCTTGAGCATGGGAACTATTTATACGGGAAGAAACAGAAATTATTGTGGGAAATCCACTGGATTTTTGAAAGAAACAGTTTGAAATTATTATTTTTTGCTCCTTTTCGAGATCAATAGTAAAAGGTATGGGGGAGTTGTATCTTTATTCTGAAAATCCGCAAAAGGGGGAAAAGGGACGAGAAGGACAACGATGGTACTGTAGCGCCGTTTGGAGCTATAACCATCCGAGTTTGAGGAAAAGAAGAAGAAGACGTACAAAGGGTATTGTTGGATGCCACTTCTTGCTGGAAATTACGGCGTGTGTCTGACTTGCAGCGTACTTTGCTGCAATCTTCGCTAGTTTCTCGCTGATTTTCAGCAGAGAAAGCGACCTACAAGGGTGGGTCGGGTATTGCTGTTGGGTTGGGAATGTTTAACAAATTGGGTTTGTTATTGAGAATGGGTATCTTTGGAATTGTGTATTGGTATGGGCTGCTGATTGTATTGTTGTTGGGCTGAAAATTGAATTGAAATTGGGCCCAAAACTAAAGCTGAAAAATGAGCTTAAAAGGGAAGTGAAAAAGATTGTCAATTGAATTGCAATTATAGCCAAATAGGGATTAAGAAGTTAGCCAATTGAGTAAAAATTTAGATGAATTAATATTAATTAATTAACGATCCTCTTAATCTTAACAAGATATAATAATTAAATTAATTATAAACTAATTAACTCAAAATTATAACTATAACTTAAAGTGAATTAATAAGGTTTCTAATTAAAACATAAAAATCTTTTGTGATGATTTTCAAATATTTATAAAATAACATGATAATAAGAATATACATATTTATTATTTAAAATTATATAAAATGACAAAAGTCCTATAAAAATTAATTTTTAAGTATTTTGAATTTCATGAAACTCATTAATTCAAAAGTATAACCTACTTAATAATATATAAACTCTTTTTGAGATGATTTTTAAATATTCATAAAATAAACAAATCATATAATTATATAGAACATATAAATTTATTTAAAATTATAAATAAAATAAAAATGAAGCTATTTAAGATAACTTGCAAACCATATATATATATATATATATTATTTTGAAATTCTTATAAAACTAATTATTTAAAATCGTTTGAAATTTAAAAAGCTCGATGGTTAATTTATTTATTGGAGGGCCAAAATTGGGTGTCAAAAATTGTCCATCGTTTGACTTGGATGATGAAAGAATATTTAAGGAAAATGAAATTGACGAATCCAATTTTGACCGACCACATTCTCATCTTTTGAAAAAAGGATTTTGGTACGGATTTTAGCAATTATGGCCGAGCCTCGGAAGCAGGTTTATTACATTTCTTACGCTTGTAGTTCGATATGCTTGATCTAACACACGATTAAGAAAGACTTCAAAAGCTATCCCGATATCCAATTATGAAGAGAATGGAATGCTCGAGAATAACATTTAAGAATGGATGTCAGAATACAACCGAGTTTTCAACATTGAACCCGCCTACATATCCTTAAACCTAAGGAATCAGGTTATTTGTAGTTCGACTCGATCGGGAGAAAAGGAAATCTATTATGCAAGATAACCTTTGGTTTTGGAGGAGTGAAAAATAAAACGAGTGTGGAAAATAGGCTTGCAACCTCCTAGCCATGAATGTGGAGCTCTTCACATCTATAAGTAAGTACTTAGATAGACATAATTTCCAAATTTCGTGGTGCGCTGTCACTCAGATTAGAAAGTTGCCTCTGGTGGATGCGAAATTGAAATAGATGAACTAACAGAAAAACCCACACGTCTTTTGATAGGGGTGTGGTTTGATTGTGGTGGAAGTTGCTCCTCAGCTCGCGTCCTAAGAGTTTGACACTCCTCTTTGGACTATGTCCCAGTTCGCTGCGAAGAAAAAAGTTCCACGTTGTGCTGCATCCCTTTTGATGTCGTCCGCACCATGTTGGAACTTAATTGTTCTCCTTGAATATTTTACGTTAACTTCTATCAGTTTGGCATAATACAAATAAAACATGTATCTCATATTTGCGACAAAACTGTTCACTGTACTCTTCTTTTAGTATAGTGGTGAAAAATAGACTAATGTTTCTTGATGGTTGAATATGATGGCCCTCTTGGCAGTTTAATATGAATGGCTCTCTTGACTTTTGAGTATGATGTCCCTCTTGGCTTTTGAATATGATGGCCCTCTCGGCAATTTAGTATGAATGGCCTTCTCGGCAGTTTGAATATGAATGGCCTTCTCGGTAGTTTGAATATGAATGGCCCTCTCAGCAGTTTGAATATGAATGGCCCTCTCGAAATTTGAATACAATGGTCTTCTTGGCATTTGAATATGAATGGCCCTCTCGGCAGTTTTAATATGAATGGCCC